GCAGAGCACAGATATCCCATTGTGTAGCTTTGGGCTTAACTTCAAACAAACAAGAAACAAATTCCATAGAAAAAATTACAAGATACGCCTGAGGTTTAAGAGTAGTGGGCAATTCTAAAGTTTTGACATTATACAATTAACACGTTTCAATGGCAGAAATGAAATATTTTTGGAAGAACGAATCATAAAGGTGAAATGAACATAACACTGTGTTAGTTATGTGGAAATAAATAAAAGATCACATCGATTTGAAAAAATATTAAAGATGTTGTGACGTTCTTTAGTTTTTCATTCAGACAATTCTAAAAAGAATATCGTCATTTCTATTCTACCAAGAGTACCTTATTACATTTTGTTAGTTTATGTTGTAATTCGTTAAAATCTTTCTTTCACGTTGTACAAGAAGTGCTATCAGTTTCTATGCGCAAAGTATTTATCCATCTACAAGATTTGCTTTCATTTACGCAAAAAGTATTGATCATTAATGATTCTATGGATCATTTTTCGTTTCCGTGATTAATTGATAAACTTTTCAGAAAGTGTTTGAATTTCTAAACAGGATTTTTTATTTCATTTTTAGTACTATGGTTAATAAAAAACATTCTGAAAAAAAAAGTATGATGTAGGGATGGCAATACTAAAAAGTACAGAAACAAGGTAGGGATGAATATACAAAACCAGGCAAAAATCCCTACATAAGTAGCCAAATCTTTTCAAACTTTTATCTACAACTGAATGTGGAATTCCTTTCATTTGCATGAATTCAGGTTTGAATAAAAGCATTTAAACTTAATAATGCTATATAGTCTTACAATGGCTAATTCCCATAAGCTTGTAACATTGGCTCAGTGGCTACTTATGTAGGGATTTTTGTATGGTTTTGTGTATTCATCCCTACCTTGTTTCTCTACTTTTTGCCATTGCCATCCATACATCATTCTTATTTTTTCTATTTTTTTTTATTGCTTGTTCCCCTCTTCTTTTTTTTTTTTTTTAAGAATGGCAGTTACTATGAAGGCAGCAGTTTTAGCTTGGCGTGATAAGTTGTCTTGATGGACATCATGTGTTGAAGTTAATGAAACGCCATACTTCCTAAGTTAAAACGCACCATTTTGGTGTGTAAGTCATCACAACAACTTCAAGCATTGCTGAGCTAGCCCTTCTGACGCCAGAATCAGAATAATCAGCAGAACATTTGGCTGTTACGTTACTCGCTGGTTCTCTACTTTAGCGATGTTTTTTTTTACGAAACTCAAGATTTTAGTAGCTTTTCAAAACCTCGAAAACCTAAGTTAGGTGTTTATAAAAGTCTCTTAGATTCTTATAAGAGAGATTTGAGACTATGGTGCAATACATGATATGCGACGGCCATTTTTTTTCTGGCCCATCCCTACATATTAAGCACTACCGTGCTTAGTGATAATTGTTTGAATTAAACAGACTAGACAAACAGCAGTCTGTTGCACACCTTTACGCAGTAAACGTTTGAAACATATATCATATCAGTTTACATGGAAAGATATCCGTTGATCTTAACACGTATGTTTATAAAGACTGTTTGCTGTGATGCAGGTTCCAAGTTCTTGTTAAGGTATTCCGATGGCGGAACTAAAGTATAAAGATATATTTTGCTGTACGCTGGCCGTATATAACGATTCTGAGAAACACTAATGGTTGTCTAATTAACCTCAAAGCTTATTGAAGAACAGACACCACTATGCTTAAACTAATTTTATAAGTGAACGGTAAGCAAAACTTAAATAAATAATCCCTGGTGTTTAAGAAACCCAGAATAAAGACTCTTTGAATAACTTCTTTTAGAATGAAAATTACGAAGATTCATTTATTAACTTCTACCAGAAAATACCATGAGTTAGCTCGACCCCTTTCTTTCTTCAATATTTTGTTTTCAGTTAACGTTTTTATTTTATAATATTTTAAATGTTTAAAAATTTTATTTTATTTTATTTTAAAAATCCAAAATAACTTTCGTTATGTAACCATTCTTTCAAAAAACAAAACGAACTTCAATTAAAAAATAAGTTTAAGTTATTTAAACCGTTGGATTGAACTGAGAAACGTCCTTCTAGCCAACTTCTCGTTATTCAGATTAAGCAGATCAGATTTTTGATAACCATACTGAGGAATTACAAGAATTGCGTTCTGATGATGTCATCTTTGTACAATTTGAAGAAGTCATAGTTTAATGATGTGGTGTTATGTACGAAACATAGCCATTTAATTTATTGTTTTTATATCAAGGGAAAAACCGTAATAACAAGTAGCAAGCTGTCTTGATGTCACTTGAAAGGGAGACATATCTTCATTAGCGCAAATAATCTAGTTTTTGTAATGCTTCAATCACCAACAAAAAAGTTTACTGAACTAAAAACGACAATTTTTAGCGCTCTGTGAAACGGTCGTATATCATGTTTTGGTCTAGTTAGCTCTCTTGCACAACTGTAGCCTTTGGTACGTTCAATCTAGAACAGCGTTGAAAATCTAAATATGTATTTTTCAATCAGGTCAAAAAATTACAAAATTACTCTGATTCTGGCGTCAGAAGGGCTAGCTCAGCAATGCTTGAAATTGCTGCGATGATTTACACACCAAGATGTTGCTTTTAACTTAGGAAGTGCAGAAGCAGTATAGCGTTTCATTAACTTCAACACATGATGTCCATCAAGACAACTTATCACGCCAAGCTAAAACTGCTGCCTTCATAGTGACTGCCATTCTTTAAAAAAAAAAAAAAAAAAAAAGAAAGCGGGGAACAAGCAATAAAAAAAAATTGAAAAAATAAGAATGATGTATGGATGGCAATGGCAAAAAGTAGAGAAACAAGGTAGGGATGAATACACAAAACCATACGAAAATTCATACATAAGTAACCGCTGAGTCAATGTTACAAGCTTATGGGAATTAGCCATTGTAGTTCTCGTTATTTTACCATTTCTAGTTCTCGTTTCCTAAGCGTGGGAAGACACGTGGTTTAGTACCAATTTTAAAACTTGATAGCTCAGAACAGGGATTCTCAAACGCTTTTGCAGATCATTTGATTGTTTTATCACAGTGGGATCTATACTCTAATTATACAACTTTTGCCGGATCACCTGAAGAGAGCACTCAGACCACATATTGAGAACTATTGGCTCAGAGAATTTAATTTAAATCGTTAGAATTTATCAGGTGGGACAACTCATAATTTAAGCTGATAATTTGTACTTTCTCATTCACATTGTTCCTGTATTAATTTTTATATTGTTCTCCCAAAATTAACTGTTAGACCAAGCTTCATTACTTTTTTTTTCTTTCCTGCTAGTACATTTCTGAATGGTTTCAAAATCCTCATTTAGCAACAGTTTATTTTTTTCTCTCTCCAAAACTGTCTTTAAATACGACCAACGTGAAAAGGCTCATCTAACGACTTTGGTTATTTGACACTGTTGTAAAATAACCTTATGTTGTATTAGTTTAACTTCTCTGTGTGTATATCAATAACCAGTTGGACTACTTCAATCTTAACTAACTCGTTTAACGTGTATTTCGTTGAACACAAAGGCATTTATTTACTACGTGAAATAATTTAACGTGAAGGCTACATTTGACTATCACTCTCTACGATCTTTAACTTGACCTGCCTTCTCTCTTTGAGGCCAAAATTATATAACAACATTACAGCAAGTAAATAAGATATTTTTTGTCAGCATCATATTGGTTTTAGTAGCACAGTATATATCTCTAAAAATGTTTCATTTCCTTATTTTGTTTACGATTATTTTTTATATATATCTTGATACCTGCAGGTAATAATAATAATACTGGCGAGTCAAAAAACGTGATTTTTTGTGAGATGTTAATACGTGCGTTGATTTCGCGATCACCAAACGTGTACATAACAACACATCTTTTTAGGTTAGGAACACACATTACAATCCATTTTTTTCAAAAAAGTTTAAAATCTTTTTATCACAATATTTTTATATCCCACATCTACTCATAGTAAATTTTATAGAATCTGCTTAAATGTTTTTCTAACAAGTTTAGTCTTATTTTGTTTTTGATATAGAGCTGCACGATATGAATTCAGAAAGTTTTGAATTTAACCTTTAATATATTTCAGGATAATTTTATTGGTCAAGCAAGACGCATTTAGAATAAGATTAAATATTTCATTTATTCTTTCCGTGATTCGCTTTTTAAGAAAGCTGCATTGTTTGGAAATCTTTGGAATCTTCCGGTACATTTACTTTTTCTTCTTACAATATTTAATTATTCCTGCATACTTATCATTTAGTTATTTTCTTTTTCAATATTTAGTTATTCTAGCATATACATTTTTTGTTTTCTTTTTCTTATCTATTTGTTTATCGGTGGGACAACAGTAAGTGTACAGACTTACATCGCTAAAACCCGGTGCTTGATTCCTTGTGATAGACGGAGTGTAAGATAGCCCATTGTGTAATTTTGCTCTCAAACAAATTAAACGTTTACCTATCGGCTGATTTTGGAATTAAAATAAGGTGTTTCTTCATAATGTCATAAGAGCAATATAAGTACATGTAAGTATACCAAAAATGTATTTTGATGTCCATGTTTCAGGCCGAATTTATTGTTAAATCCATCGTTTATCAGGTTTTTCTTACTTTTTGTAAGAACCTGTAAACTGAAGATTTTTTTCAAGTTGATTATGCAGTTTGTAGATATATGGTTTGATAATGGTGATAAAACTGTCTCGCTGAGTTATTAACTTATTGTATTTTCTATATGTTACCTCACTTGTAAATGTTTATAATGCGAAACCGTTATATGCTACCAGAATTCAAACAATTACTCCTAGTGATTTTGATTAAATACCATTGAAATCTATTCGAATTTTTATAATATTATTGACGCAGTAATATTTATCCGCGTATTTAGACTAGATGTACTTCCGCAGGGTCCATAAAAGTGTTCTGTTTCAAGATTAAATTAAATCAAAATTAAGAGTAACAAATATTTTTATTTCTTGATTTTGAAGTTCATATGTCATGCTGTGATGTACCTATAGAGTGCATAATTCTTCTGACGTCACGACAGTACAAATTGCAACGTTAAACGTCCTTTTTATGACATCATTTTAATGTCTGCTAACTGACAGACAACACACTACTGTGTAATGGTGCGAGTGGTTAAAACAGGTGACCCCCCCTTCGGCAGCCTTGGGCCCCTTTTCGGGGAACTGAAATTAACAGGAGTTGCATTACATCTCTCAGAAGAAAACATCATTGAAGGAAGAGAGAGACTATGACTTCAGAGATAGTGTTGCAAATTCAGACTACATTTAATACTAATTGAAGTAAAAACACTTACTGAATAAAAGGAAGTATAATTGTGTTTCGGGAAAAAGGGAAACCATTTTGCAGAATTTTAAGAAAATGAATGCAACACAATAATTATGGCTTCGACTTAGAATTTTGATACTGCGAGTTTTATAAAGTATATTGCCTTTTTAATTTGAAACTCAAAGAGTCGAATCTATTACAAGCTGTATTTGTTCCAATTTGTCAATGTATTTAGGGTTACCAGCTAACCAAGAGACTCAACGGGTCATCAGATGGAAGTTTGACCAATTGGATACAAACAAAGACAACGTGCTTGGAAAGAGGGAAGTCCGAGATCTTCGTCGGATGGCTAAGAAAATTATTGAGCCACGACAGTGTGCCAAAACATTTGTCAGGCATTGCGATTTTGATCACGATAAAAATATTTCTCAAGTAGAATGGTCAAAATGTCTTGTGACAGATATAAGTAGTAAGTCTTCCAATAGCATTTTTTCTTCAATTCTTTCTTCATAAATTAAATTAGCATAACTAATTTATAAAATACTTCAAGGTTATAAGTTTCAAAAGAAGTTTAACCTCTTGCAACAGTTTCAAGACAAGAAATGTTGACTTTAAATAATCACTTACAGTTTTTTGAAAACTTATGTTTATGATCATAATACATGGGCAAGATCAAAATTATTGACAAGGATTATGCAGGTTGTTTGTGAAATGTTATGGTTTATTTCAGAATATAGTCAAATGCATATATTTAATCTGTTTTTGCCCAATGTTTAACACTATTAAACCTCTCAGTGTCGTAAATATTTAGTGGATATATTTCTATTATACTTTTAAGTTTTTTTGTTTTTAATATGATTAAAACCACACAAAATTATCTTTAATATTTAAAATAGGGAAGCATAAAAAACTCCACTTCTTGTACGTTTCCATTTTTGGATTTTTACCTATTTTTACATTATGGATAAATTTTAAGTTGTTGAAATTCTAGTTTTACAATTTTAAAGTTAGAATGTCATTTTTGCACACGACGCAAGCTCAATTGTATCTAATTTACAGGTAGGGGTAATTTACAAACTTTACACAAAACTTCAAATTTTAGGCGCAACTCTTTGTCGTACCTATATATATTTATATATATATATTTGCAATTTGATATCAAATACTGAACTTTTTTGCATTCATATAATTAGTTAAAAGAACCGTTTCAGTGATCGTTCAGTGTCGAAACTATTATTATTCATGAACAGGGAGAGAACGATATGTAGGTCAAACAATGTTGTTGTTTTTGGATTTTTTAGATATTAATTAATTATACGCTCATGCTACCATGTTTCTACATGTGGTTTAACTTCTTTTCAAATACTATACTTTTTATTGTGTCTTTTACTGTAACTTAAAAAAAATGAATATTTTATAATATTTTAAAATCAATTAACAAAGATTGATCAACCAATTAAGACTTTGAGTTTTAAACATACATGTAAAGTCAATGTGCTTGCTATACTTTATGTGAATGCTTTGTAACAATAAAAAAACCCGTTGAAGCAGTTTCTCGGCAAATATAACCGTTAAAATCATAAATAATATTCAACGTTAAACTCGTACACAATTAAAAACATTCTATTTAGGCCTATCTATGGCCTTCAAAAAGTTGACGACTTTACATGTTTCGACGTTACAACGTCCCAGACCAACCTGTAACAACGCTGTTATCCACCAAAGTGAAGGCTATTATTACAAAACATAACATTCTGAATAAAAAAAAATCATTGTGATTAAGCTGATCACGTCTCTTGATATTCTCAATAAGATAATAAACAAGGATTTGAAATTGACACAAGTTCACAAAATTCTAGCCATATCTCGAAATCAACATTTCATTTCATAGAAAGCTGATCACGTCTCTTGATATTCTCAATAAGATAATAAACAAGGATTTGAAATTGACACAAGTTCACAAAATTCTAGCCATATCTCGAAATCAACATTTCATTTCATAGAAAGATAGATCAAGAACAGGCTCTATAAATTTTGAAGACTGGAGATCAGTAGACTTAAATTGTTAATATTAACTTTCAATTGCAGGAATACTTCAGTTACAGTTTAAAAGTCTTCTGGTGGTTCATCAGTAACGTTGAGGGTTTCTAATGCTAAATATCGGGTTTCGATACACGCAGTAGACAGAGCATAGATAGCCAATTGTGTAGGTTTGCGCTTAACAACCAACAAAAAACAATCTAAAAAAGTGTTGACATCGGTAAAGTTTTATAACATTCTCAATAAAAGTGTCAGGGCGGCGGGTCTCTGGAAAGTTTAGCAAGACATGTGGGCAGAAATTGTCTTCTCCATCCATAGCAGAAGTATGTTACGACAAAAGTGTCAGGGCGGCGGGTCTCTGGAAAGTTTAGTAAGACATGTGGTCAGAAATTGTCTTCTCCATCCATAGCAGAAGTATGTTACGATAAAAGTTGCGGAATCATAAACAACACGGGACTCGTAACTTTTGTATCTCAATTTTTGTCTTAGAGCAAAACCACATTGGGCTATCTGCCATGTCCAACGCGGGGAATCGAACCCCAAATTTTAGCGTTTTTAGTTTGTAGACTTATCGCTATTCCACCAGGGGGCGGACTTGTAAAGTGAGATCAACCCTCAATTTCTGCAACTCAGAATTAACCATTTTTAATTTCTAGCTGCCTTAAAAATAAGCGACGTTTTCTAGTGTGATATAATGAACGATATAGATATTTGAATTTAAGAAACAATTTTCTTTAATTCCATAATTCATGTTTCACTGTTATATTTTAAATACAGAAAAGAAGAAAATATTTTGGTTTGGGTATTAGTTACATTGTTAAGCTTACTTACTGATTATCTCACGCTTAAAGCTTTTATATTTTATAACTTCTAGCCAAGATCCTTAACAGTAGTTTTTACTATGAAGTGTTTATACGTAAGCTTTATTGTTTGTATGTAATAATAATAACTCGAAGCTAGCTTTTGGTTATTCTGTGTGGTAGGTTTCCCCAAATAAAACTGTTTGTGTATTTGTTTAAATCCATTCAAACAACCATTTTCAAAGTTGTCTTAGAAAATAAAAACGATATTATTTTCATAACGTATTAAAAATTTTCACTCCGTATTCTGTAATGCTAAGAAAGGCAAAAACAATTTCCTCTCTGCCAGTAAATGGCTGTGTTTACGTTTATTTAACATCTATTCTTTGGGCTCAGCTATTATGATGTGGAGATTTTTTTTCTATTTAGGTTTTTCTAGGTGATTCTTTTTTGCTTTGATTTTTCAGTGTATCAGTATAAATTAAATTAATTAGTATTCAAGTAATATTGACATATGTATAGACCACAAAAGAAAACAATTAAAAGATTGATGCTTAAATTATATATTACAATGCACAAAATTAATTTGATAATTGATGACAGCAAATAATTTCTGCTGACTCTCTTGAAATATCTCGTAAACGTGCTCTGTGTAGTGTATGATATATCTTAAAATAATGAAAATTCTTTTAAACTCTCACCCTCTGCCACGTCTCGCATTTTCTATACTCTCTCTCTCTCCTTCTTTCTCTCCTGTTCTGTCCAAATTTCCATTTCTTTTCGGTTTCCCACCTTCCACCTTCCTTCCGGCCGGGAACAATGTGCAATATCCAACTGGACTGCGGTCCGTCGGAACACCACTAACCTGTTTGACATGTAGTCTTTCTTCGCATTTTTATGTCTTTAAACTCAGAGGAGACCCCCGTGAGTGCATCGGCAGAGATGAAACCATCACCAACAGGTACGTTTTTCATTCATAAGATAGTAAGGTAGTAGAAATTAATTGAGAGGAATTCGTGTCAATTATGCCAATTTTTGTACATTAGGGTAAATTTTTAAACTAAAGATATTTATATACTTTCATAAGTTATGCATGATTTTATAGTCCGTTTTCCCACAGGAAGATATTTTGTTTCACGTATAGTAACTATCATAAACCTGACTCCATGAAAAAAAGACTAATCTTGTTATAACAACCTTCAATACTGAAAACCACTATTTGCAAAACATTGGCAGTGTCTCTCTGTAATATATGCATATATTGATTTTTCTTGACAATGAAACCGTTATTCACTTCATAACTAGTATCACAACATAACTTCACACTGATTACTGGGTATCGCTTAACGTGTATTGAGAGAACTTGATTCTTTGATACGTGTTTTCAAAATAAACATTAATAAACATTCAGACTTGTTTTATATCACAACGCATTTTTTTTCAATTGATTTCATTGTAGTGAATGACCAGTAAAGTTCCAATCCAAAGACTTTGAAAATTTCAACATGGTTAAACTGAGAATAACAAGAAACCGAATTTGAGACTTGCACTGTAAAACAAGCAAAGTTATTGATTTACATAGGAGAAAGAAAAAATCTCAATGTCATATTGATAAAAAGCTTAGTGTATCGAAAGGTGCGATTAAAGGACATCAGAATTAACGTTGCAGCAAAGTCCTGTAAATGCTAATAAAAGAAAAACACCCAGACTAGAGGTTAATGTTACTTTAAGAATTTAACATCGCATTAATTAATATCCCTAGAACTAAACGCAAGGAGCTAGAATCAATAACAGAACAGTTCGAAAGTGCTTAGAAGAAAGTGTCCTTTCTAATTGTGAAGGGTGACAATTATGGTTATCCATTGTTCTCCGTTCCTCGCTGTCAGCACAAACTTTCCTTCTTATCCATAATCCATTGTCTATGTAATTGAGCCATGTTAACTTCTGCCTGCCTCTAGCTCTACTTCCTTCGATTTTACCCACCAGAATCTCACCCTCAGATGTAATTATATGCTCAAAGTAACACATCTTCCATTCCTACATACCCCCAATAGTTGTCTTTGTATGTTCCAATGTTTCTTCATTAGCTTTTCTTTTTGTGTAGCTGATCTTCATCATTCGTCTACAACACCACATTTCAACCGTTGGTTTGTTTCAGCAGACAGGGTCTGCGTTTCTACTCCGTAGAGTAGGACTGATTATACGTATCGTTTTTGAAGTCTCTTCCTCAATTCTATACTATTATCTCTATTGGGCAACTTATCAACAAGCTTGTCAAGCAACTGTTGTTTGTTAAATTCACCCGTGAGTGCTGCATACCTATTATTACAGATTATATTTCTGATACTCTTGATCTCTTCTGTATCAGTAATTACAAATCATATAATTTTGGCACACATATTTATGTTACATCTGCCTTAACTACAAATCAACTGCTTAGTTTTTCGTCCATTTGAACTCCTGCTTCCTGACTCCAATATGAATTCTTCAGGATTCTGATATCTGTTTGATCTACCCCATTCTATTGCAGGACGTATATAAACATCTCGTGGTTAACCCCATCAAAAGCTATTTGAAAGTCTATGAATGACTTTTAAAGATCTCTTTGCACTTTCATGGCTCTGCACTTAACATCCTAAGGCCAAGTATGCTTTCTTGCGTGCTGCAACTCTTTTAATAGACATTTTGATATTCTAACTGCTCATTCTAAAACGTATGTTTAATCTTACTGATGGTTTTTTTATCAATACGTTTGAGATGTGATAGTTCTGTATTGGCCATACTCCATAGCCTTAGGTTTCTTGGGGATCAGCACAAAAACAGGCCTTTTAAAGTATGTTGGCATTGTCTTTCCTCTGTAAATTGCACTCAGATATTTAATCCTTAAAAGGTCCATTTCCTTTACAAATTTTTTAGAGTTTCATCTATTCTGCAAAGTTTCCCAATTTTTAAACTTCTAATGGCTTTCTTTACCTCACTTTTTAGAATTAATGGGCTAATATGAATTGAATCTACCACTTCTAGGGCTAGTTTCTCTTCTCTTGCATAGTTATACAATTTTCTTATTCACCTCTGTAGAATATTCTTTTTTATCTTAATCCACTGGTCCTCTTCTTCATCATCAGATGTAGTCGCATAAACCGGAATGATGGCTACATTACTCGGCAAACATTACTCTGTTTGAGATATGTCAAAACTCTTTCACAGTTGCTTAATTCCTCTTTCACTAGCAGACATACACTTTTGTGTGTTCATCTCCTGAATATATAAATTTACAACCTTTATTCATGAAGTCCCTGAATCAGTCCCTCCGAACTGACTTGGCCTTAGGATATCACAATTCAATCTTTTCATCTACTGGCATACGTTGCTCATACTTTCAGTTCTGTATAGAGTCTTCACGTTCCACGTTCTTATCTTCATCATTATCCTTATAATGACGTAAGATTCCTCGTTGCTGCTTTTATCGATTCTAACATCGGAATTGGAGGGTCCTATGGGAATGAGCTCTGCTTTCAGTGCCTTCAACCTTTCAGAACAGGTACATCAGGACCCCCCTCAGGTAGCACACTTCAGAACAGACTGTCTAAAGGTCCCACATTTTGTCATAAATGTCTTTACTATTTTATTCGAACTTCCTATAGCTAACAAGAGTTAAATGGTCCGGTAGGACTACGAGACCCTTTCTATACTCGATGGGATGTTATCTCTAATGGTTAGACAAGTGTCAGGAGTTAATTGTTGGGATAGTTTTAAGCAATTAGTGCAATTCCAAAGAACTCTCCGACAAAACCCACATACCAGAAACTCCATTTTTGAACTCCCCGTTGTCTTTTGAACGTGAGACTGAAGAGGACGCACGAATGTGTGGAAACCAGTTTCTCTAATATCAGACTTCTGACAGTTTGTTCCGTTTACTGTAGTTTTTCACTTATTGTATACACGATATTGTGTTCTTGTATTATTATTACTAAGAATATGCCGATTGTTGTAGTCTAACAACAACGACAAATAAACAAGCAAAATGTTAGCATCCACGGTTGATCAATGTCGTCACAGCTATTAAACATGAGTTTGATATCTCTGACTCAGACTTTTGGCGGATACTGTATAAAATGTTCGGATTCAAATGGTATTCAACTACTATTACTGGGTCAGTGGCAACGAGAGATACTCATATCTTGTTACTTATATTTTCACATCAAAATTCCACTTTTCGTTCATGCCAATGCATCTTACTTCTTGTCCGAATCTGCAATCCTTTTACTGTTTGTAATACGGAGATTGTAGCGTGAAGTTATAAAAATAAAATAGAAGTAAATGCTTAGAAAGTTCAAACTTATTACACTGTACTTAAGAAGAAATTATGAAGGAACTCGAAATCTTTATTTTCTGATGTGTTAATTAAACGAATCTGATTTAGATGGAAAAGCTTCCAATATTTAGAAAATCAGAGAATGAATATTCTGTGCTTGTGCAAAATATGCCATAAATTTATTGTTTAATTAAACATAAAGAACTCTACCGGTGTTACAAGCATAAATGATGATTGTAATTACTGTTTTCAGAAAAAAAAGAAAAAGCTCAAAATGTGCGAAACGAATGATTAGTATTAAAATATTTCTTGATAATAAGTTATTCTAAATCAATGTTTTTAGTTGTTCAATGCAAACCTGTGTAAGAAATATGAAAAGAAATGTATAAAATGATTTTAATTGTTTTACAGCGCACCTGTGGCTCACTGAATATATTAACATATACTGCTCTATGTTTCGTTTTTCTAATTTTTGATTTGCGTAACCATTTTGATATTTTAATTTTCTTACTCAATATTAATCTTTCAGATAGTAATATCTTTTTATTTTCTATCTGTGGAGATCGCTCATTTTGATTTATCATCATTTTGGTTATCTTTCCAAGCGTTCTTCTAGCGTTTCTCAAGAACGTATTGTGTTTTAGGTATACTGACATCCTTCTAGCGTTTCTCAAGAACGTATTGTGTTTTAGGTATACTGACATCTTCTAGCGTTTCTCAAGAACGTATTGCGTTTTAGGTATACTGATATCTTCTTCTAGCGTTTCTCAAGAACGTATTGTGTTTTAGGTATACTGATATCTTCTTCTAGCGTTTCTCAAGAACGTATTGTGTTTTAGATATACTGACATCTTCTTCTGGCGCTTCTCAAGAACGTATTGTGTTTTAGGTATACTGATATCTTCTTCTAGCGTTTCTCAAGAACGTATTGTGTTTTAGGTAACTTACAAATATGGACATATTTTCTTCTGAAATCTTTAGTTGCTCTTTAATGTAAGCAATTATTTTTCCAGTTGGAATTTCCAGTATTAGTTGTAATATCAATACATGCAATGCTTCACAAATAGCACAATTAATAATCTATTGATTAAGATATCAAACATTCAAATGAAAAAAAAAAAAGACTGCAACAACAAAATATATAATTCAACGATAATTTAGGGTATTTAACCAGTAAATCAAATGCAAGTATTACGACATTCAAGGTTTGAGGCTTTTAAAGTGCCCCCTGTGGTCAGCGGTAAGTCCGAGCCTTATAACACTATGAATTTGGTTTCGATACTTGAGGTGAGCACAACACAAATAGTCAATCGTAGAACTTTGTGTTTAATAACAAACAAACGAAGCTTTTAAAGGAAATTTGAAAAAATACTTAATGGTTGGATAACCTCGTGGATTGTTTGGTTCGAATTATTTAATCAGTTGTCATGGTGAAATGAAATGTCTGTTACTGTAACTGATGGAATAATATCACTGGACTTGTGAAACTCTTCATTTTAGTTTTAAACAGAAGCACATGAAAATCTCGTTTTTTTCGTATTCCAGCAGAAGAAATGCAGTAATAAATTACACACATTAACTAATATAAGTGTTGTGTAGAAAACAAGGCCTAGGCCTAATGGTAAGTGAGAAGAACTTATGGTATTCATTCAAGACAAAGTTTCGCACTTATAGTTTTATTACAGGTAATTTAAGATCGGTTTACGCACAAGATCAGCGTAAAAACGGTAATATTATTCATGGTTATCCCAATCATGACAGGGATTCTTCATAAAAGATGTTTATACCGAATTAGTTGCCTTATACGTACACATGCTGTGATAAACGGTTTGGCATTAAAGACGGTAAAAAAATCAATACTAAAAGTAATTTGTATTTATTTTCTAAAAAAAATAAGAGTCTGTGAAATATCATGTTGTAGGCTTGTATATGTATATGTTTTGTATAAATTTTAGTGTGGTTAGACCTCTATAACAAGCCATCCTGTGCGCCATCTATCGCTAATTTGTAGCTGAATCAACAGCTTTTGGAACTCTCATTAGATTTTAATTAAAACAGATATTCTGACTGATAACATCAGCAGTAGTCATACTGTAAACCTAGAAACAGAGAGTTCTGCATCCTGCCAAGATTGTTTTGAATTCAAATCATCTCAAGAATTTATTGAACTTCAAATACAGACTTGTAACACTCAACATTGATGAAACACGCGATATATTTTAGATAGTTTGATACATTTCTACTATTGATCATTAAGTTTCACTTTTTTGCGCACTAAGTGAAACGTTATTTGTTTTTAATGTGCCGCTTAATAGAAGTAAAGCTAATGCGAGACATTAGTAAGAATGTAGACTTCTTTGCTTATTGAAACGATCCCCTAATTTGTTTTAGAAAATAAACATCCTTTAGATATTCAAAGACTTTCATGATGTGTTTATGCGATAGGTGGTGTATTTAATTTTGTTTCTTTTGTATATCAATGAAAATGCTTTGAAAAACTTGATTACAAAATGTTGACAAAGAAAAACAATCACGCAAAATCTGCTCAAGTCTTGTATACATCTTTTCAAAACAAATACATTAGTTTATTAGGTTATATGGCTCTCGATTGATCATTTAAAATATCTAATATTTTGAGCTTGAAACAAATGTTAGTGTTCATTGTAGATTTTGGTTGTTTTCTTTTACTGCTAAAGAAGTTTTTCGTCAACTTCATTTTTCTACCCTTTGTGCCTCAATAAAAATGCACGTGTAGCCTAAATTTTCGTAACATTATAAGTTTTTCATGCTACAGTTCGAGTAACTTAATTACAAGAAATGCAGATCCTAATTGGGACCGGTGTTTGTGTGTGTTAAGAGTTTAATATTATTACAACCCACGAAGTTACGCGTTGCCAGGACTTAATGAATTTTATACATATCGTGTAATAAAAATGTCAGGTCTCCAGACTGGCGTCACTATCTAACGGAATTTTGGTCAAACACAGGTCACGTGATTACTATCATGAAATTACTATCATGTAATTTATGACACGTACTTGTGTTACTACTTCTATCTTTAATGAATGTGGATCCACTTTAAATTTTATTTCATTACCTTGAGATTGAATTTTTACAAGTAATAAACTAGTCTGATTTAATTACCAATGTTTACTCGCCTTCACAGCATACTAAACATCATGTATATGTAAAGTTCGTGTAAAAAATAACATTAGATTCATGGCTGTAAAAGAACAGATTAAATTATATATGTTAACATTGTGTAATTTGATACAAATTTGAGTGTTTTTTTTTGTTCTCCCTATAATGAATCATTCAATGGACCCATTTAAAATTTTCCAAAAATGTTAACAAAAACCCATAAAGGATTAACTACAAAAAAAGTGTTTGATCTTCATGAGATGTTTATTTTCTACAAGAATGTCGTAGAAATAGATGAAAATTCTTCGTGTTCTTTTAGTTTATTGGAAATCCTTAAGGAAACATAAATAGGCTTTAAAGTCAAGCATTAGTTGGCTGACCTTCACTGTGCTGTAAATTACCTTTAAGCTAATATCCGGAAGAAAGAAAAAAACAAATATTTTTTACAACAGGATGTTTATATCTTCAGGTTTTAGTAGAAATAAAAACATTAAATCTTTGTTGGTGTTGGAGTTATATGTTATGTTATGTGAAGTGAGTGAAGTTTTCACGAAACATTTCATCCCCGGTAGACATTTTACCCGTCAATATCATAAAAGCAGTGTGTGTGCTGCTAGGCTTTCGTATTTAAACGTCTTATTTCTACTCTGTTGCTACGCGTAAAGTTGTCCTACTGTATTATGTTGCCAAGTTATTGTATTTTTACAGCTTACTTTTTTTATGTTGTGCGTATGTGTGTACTTACAGATGATCTACTTTTATGCTACTCTGTGTTACTATATATTCTGTTATAAGATAATGTCGTGTTGTGTGTGCTCGTGCTGGCTTAGAGATGAGCTTTCATGCTGCTCTGTATTACTATATGGTCTGTTATAAAATAATATAGGTTATTTTCTTTTTCTAATCTCGAGTGTATATTTTGAACATTTCTCAGAGTTGGTCGTAGTAAGGGATTGAATGTTATATATTGTTTCTAAGTGGCTGTGATACCGGATAGGATTAGATATTGTCATTTGCTTCTCTTAGTGTTTACAACTTTAGGGTTATTCAATGTCAACTATTCCTCAGATGTCCTCATTCTGAATATATATATATATATATATATACATACGTTCTTTGTTGCCAAATGCTTCGACTCAAAGAAATTATTCTGTAAAACTCTTGATTTTCCTAAAAGGTTTAACGTTAACTACTTTAAACGTTGCCTACCGGATTAAGGATATCTTGGTCGTAATGTCTGTTGTTTCTCGAATGTCCTTGTAATGATGACAATAAATGTTATTACCGTTTATCGGATGTCTTCGAGATAAGGAGATTAGGTGTTTCCAGTTGTTTCTCAGATGTCCTGGTGGTAATGGATTTGGTATTGGCTGTTATTTCTCGAATATCCTAGTGGTAAATTGTTCTTCGGATAATCTAGCAATGAGGAAATTAGGTGTTTCCAGTTGTTCCTCGGATGTTCTGGTGGTAAGAGGATTAAGTGTATTAAATATTGACCTAGTAGTGAGGAATTCAACTGTGTCCTGATGTAGGGGGAGGTGTTATTATTTAATGTTTCTTGATGGCAAAAAAAAAAAACAACCAAAAAAAACAACATATTATCTATTGCTTTTCAGGTTTTTATTTTTTGTGATCTGAGAATTAAGTTAAATAGAACTACTTGTTTCTTGGAGGTGTTATTCTTTTTCATTGCATATGCACCCTAATGTTAGTCTTAGCAATGATTTTCGGATTGTATAGAACACAGTTTAAATGATAATTCGTGAATTATATGATTGATGTTCACTGTATATTAAAACTTTATGGGATACTGTTTGGCCAGCAGCCTGTAGACTAGTATAGTACGCGTTGACAATATTAGAGTTGCTTCACGCAAGTTATTTTAAAAATTATGATTTTTCTTACTTTACTTCTTCGTTCTGAGAACACTGCTAAATATTTCGAAAGTTGTTCTTCAAATACGTATTTAATCGTCACCTTCTGTTCTATTCTGAACTGTTCAACTTACACATTGGATTATGTATATGCCCGAAATATATAAACCACCAGGTGAACAACTCAGCTTGTGACGTTTATAATTTATCAGCTGTTTCTTTGTTTTATTGAATTTCGCGCAGAGCTACCTAAGGGTTATCTGCGCTAACCGTCCCTGATTTTGAAGTGACAGACTAGAGGGAAGACACCTAGTAAATACCGCCCACCGCCAACTGTTCAGCTGCTTTTTACCAACGAATAGCGGGATTGATCATCACATATAACGCCCCCACAGCTGGAAGGGCGAACATGATCAGAACGCAGATTGAGAGTCGAGCTTTCTAATCACCAGGCCATGCTAGGCCTCAACTGTTTTTTATTTACCTGATAGGTCTAAGTGTGGTCTTGCGGCTAGTGTATACAATTCGCTTCTTGTTTTGCTGTAAAAATGAGCCCTATACTTTTGGGCCGCGGGTGCGCTATAAAAGTAACTGTAAAATCCCAATATACGGTCGGAAAAGTAGTCCAAGAGTATGCGGTGAGTACTATTGACTAGCTTCTTTCACCTAATCTGTCAGTTCAAAATTAGACTTTGCTAGGTGTGAATAATTTTGTGTAGCTTTACGCGAAAATTCTAAGCCGTTCACCAGTTTATCTGACAAAAATATACATTTAAGCCTTGAATGACATCAGTTGTATTACCTGCAATTTCTTAAGGAAAACATGTAAAATATAATCACTGAATTTCTTTATTGTCCTTAGCTACTTTCATTCTCTTCTGGTCAGTTTCAAGTTAGTTGTAATAATATTAGATAGATTTCGTAGCTAACTGTTGTGGCAGGAGAAGTGGAATTGACACGAGAAGAAGGTAAGATATAACGAACCGCACACTTGTATACAGACATGTATCTTATATGTATGGTATTTTTAAACATAAATAATTGGCAAATATGGCAATAAATGACAAACATAATTTTCTATGCTGCTAAATTTTTATTTGGTTCCCAAATGACTAAAACTCTGAAATCAGTAAAATATGTCACTTTTTATTGGCATACCTTGTGTTTTCTCTTTGTTATAAAATAACGTACTACAAGATAAAATGTTTCAAGCTATATTTGGTTTTCTTCTTAATACAAAATGAAGAAATACACGATAAAATGTTTCAAAGCAAACTTGGTTTTATCTTTGATACAAAATGAAGTGATATCAATTAAAGTGTTTCAAGATATACTTGGATTTCTCTTGGTTTCAAAATGAAGAACTACAAGATACAATGTTTCAAGACATACTTTGGTTTTCTCTTTTATAGAAAAGTAAGGATCCAAAATGATTATTTTCAGCAGGATTTATCTTTTATAAGCACGACTACTACTTAAACCATGGTTTATTATATACAGCATTCCAATCATTAGTATTATCAAAATAAATCAATTTTAATGATAAAGAGAGAGAATTTTAAATCATTGATATGTTTCCCGCCCTCAGACCATACTGGTAAACCATGGGGACGACCTCTTCTCCAACCTCAGCCAACGCCGAGAAAAACTACCTTTCTTCGAGAAAGTGACGAAGACGGTGAGTAGAGAAGACGCTCAAAAAATATTCAGCATTTTCCACGAAAGTTATGTTTAAAAGAAATACCTTACAACAAGGTTTCGTTTTATATAATTTCTTATCCAATCTTCTATTTAAACCTTTTAGAACCTATTTTTCTCCATCTTCTTAAGATTAATGTTGATTAAACGACGTTTCTGATATTAGCAGCCTAGTTTTGTTTTACATAGTCGGCGCGTGAATTGTTTTTTGTTTGGATAGACTGTTCTGTTACATATGCTGTATAGTATTTTTGGAGTTGGTGAGAATAATCCTCTGTAAGGACATTTCATATGGGGAGGCTATTTGTTTGTTCATGACAGGCATTTAACGGGGTTGCCACTCGGGCAACCAGAGAATTATCACCTGTTTTCGCCCATTTGGGAAGACTAAGCCTACCAAAGCTTCTCATACGCACTGCCCCTGTTCTTATGCTTTAAAACGAACATTTCATGTAATTAATGTTTAACATCTGTAATTATAGATGAATGCGAGTTAGAAATCTCATATGCCGGAAAGATGATGTATCTCACTCTTAACTAATCGTCTACTTTGGAGTTTAACATTTGCAAAGAGCTGAGTTGTTAAAATCGCTGTAATCACCAGTATATGTATGTGATAGTTTTTGAAAAGTGAACTCAGAATGAGCGGGCTTTTGATGGCAATATAAGTGTCGGTTCAAACACATCATTTATTTTAAACACGTCTCTTCAGTCGACATGAGGCAATAGAAAATGATGTTCCATATAAAATTTTATTGAATTAAATACCTTCTAATTATCTTATTTTCCTTTTATTATTTAGTTGTTTAAAAATGATGTAATCCAGCTATTACATAGAACATGTTTAATTTTATGCTTAAGACCCACGACACTTTTGTGCTTTAATGTCGGGTTTTTTACTGAGGTTACTCTACTATAAGCCGGGGTCGTGGTGTAGTAGTTAGTGTGTGGGGCTGTGAGTCTGAGGTGTCAATAGTTCATGTCCAGTACCTCAGAAAAAAGAAGAAGAAAGGAATCGCTTCGCACTTTGAGCCGTGTATGTGTGTATGTTATAAGAGTGACGGTTAAATTTAAATATTCCATTATAATAGACCAAGAGTTGGCAATGTATACTGTTGAATGGCTGCATTCTCCATTCTCTCACGTCTATCAGTTGAAAATTAGGGTCGACTAACGTAGATAGCTTTTATGTAGTTTTCGCTCAAATATCTGAAATATATATGTATTTTGCTTCTACATAGTTATTGACGAGAAGAGGTTTGGCGTGATTGGCGTGCTGGATTATGAACCCGACGATCCATTGTTCGCGTCCTGCTACTTCAAAATTGCGCTATGCACCTTGGGGTCGTGGGCGCGTTATAAAGAATGACGGTCAAATCTCAATTTTCGATTACAATAACTCAAAAGCTTGCGGCGAGTGCTGCTGGATAGTTTCCTTCCGTCTTGTCTACCAGTTCAAAATTAGGGATGTTTAGCACAGACAGCACCTATAGCATTGCGCGAATTTCTGGAACAAGTAAACTTTTCAAACTTTTCTTTTCGTTACCAGAAATTGGTTAATAAAAACAGCACAAATATAAGACTTTTTGTTACTAGGTTTCCTATAAGATTGACAACGTTTTCGTTTAAAAAGAATGTCAATACTGAGACAAGGTTGTACATAATGTGGGGTAATAAGTTTCATAATACAGTTTAAACTATTGAAAACTGAAGAAATGATGAATTTCAAATCTAGGTAGACAGCCTCAAATTTTGTTTCACAGTCCACAGTAATGTTAATAATAAAAACACATCAACTCAATGCTGTCGTCAAAAGTACTGTAACGAAATTGTCTTGTGTTGTTTGAATATACCACAAGAAGAGGAAAACATAGTGATATAGTGAGAATGTTCTTTTATTTGTTTTAGTTTTGGAAAAGTGTAACGTAGTAAGAGAACGAGCGCTTGAAACCCAGAGAACGACACCTCATAGCGGAGTATACATTCCCGAGTGTAAAAAGAATGGACGCTACAAGGACATCCAATGTTTCAAGAATAAGGAAAACTCCGTCTGTTGGTGCGTAAGACCCACAAATGGGAAGCCAATCCATGGAACCACATCTCGAAACGGACGACCAAGATGCAGGAAAATGCGAAGAAATGCCAAAATATTTAAAGGTGAGTAAATCTATTTTTTACTGGCATAGTATAAGCATTCTGCTATGGAAAGTACCAAACATTCATTCATTTATTTATGAAGACTATTAGCAGAGATAAATCTTAACTGAGTGAAAGTTCAACATAAAACCTGTAGTGGAACAGATCAAATCATCTCCTTCATCTGACACTGGTACAATTATGATATGATAACTTATTAAAATATTGACGACTGTATGCTTTTGAGGATGTGGGAACTCCTGTATCGTTATGTCCTGAATCTTGAATGGTAGTTTTGTTAGTTTCTTCAATCAAATTTCGACCATTTTCTTATTTTCAAAGAAACAATAGGCGCTGTCACTGTTTTAT